CAGGCAATTTAAATAATTCTGATCGACGAATATATGGTAGTTTGTTATTGTCCGGTTAAGTACAGTGCTCACTGGCCTCACTGGTATCATGATCTTCAGAGTCGAGTAAAATAATTTGCATTTATAATAAATGCTATCCATGCAAATGTAATGTATGGTAGTTTCTGTTTGTGCAGAAAAGGTCTTCAGAATTAATTCCTAAAAAAGATGGACTTATTCTTTCTTGGGCTTGCAGATCCAAAAATCATTTCCATTCTGGATTTTATCAAAGCACTTCTTGAAGATTTGTCACTCAAAACCGTTGGTCAGGTTGGGCTAAATTTATTTTCACAAACATATTTCCTCCACCGCACTAGACTTAATGGGCGCATTTTTAATAATTTATTTTGAGTGTTGAGAAAACAAGAGAATTTCGTAGTTTTTCATCTTAAATATAATTATTTTAGCTATTAGGTTGTGATATTTTTAGGTGAAATATTTGTACGGGTTTTTTGTGACACTACGAGTTTCTGTCTCCATAATATATATTTAAATCTAACTACATTTTCGAATGTATCAGGATAGCTGGTAAACATATTGTTTGTCCAAGTGCTATGTTTGTCCAAACCATAGCATTGGTGAAAGTTTTTTAATCGTTAATGCTCCAAATACGGCCCAGCAAAGGATTTCGGTCGTTCCACCTTCTTAATCGCTTGTTTTTATACACTGTTGTTCAAATTCACTCTTTCACTTCCACTCCCCAGTTCACTTTACCTTGCAAATTGTGTTTTGTCATTTACCGTCCAAAATTTAACCCAATAAGATTATTAGATAGTTAGATAGATGTTAGATTTTTGCATCATATACCTAAAAGATCTATTATAGCGCCATACTGAATGTATGCCCTATTTGATCAGTGGAATTATCCCATTATACCTAGCGAAGTCTTTACTCAATGACATTCATCCGAATGTAGTTGATTTTGGAATTGCATTTGTGATTAGCTAGTGTTGGTGGATTGTTTTATAATTATGCATTATTATTCTTATGCGTAATTATTGTTATTCTGAAACTAACAGTTATGGCAACCAAAGACATCATGGCAATGCCAACGTATTAATAAAAAAGTTTAAAGCGTTTTCAGTTAGATTTTTACTTTTGTACACTTCTGGGACTCATGATTTAAACAGAACTGAAATACACCCTACATATAGGGAAATCTAGAAGGTCTGTATAAGAAATAAGTTAATAGATCAAGCAGACACATAGTTTAGGTTAGAAATGTACCAAGTTTTTTATCATGCATATTTTTTCTAATAAGCAATTATATATTGTAGTTATTATTATTATCATGTCTACCATTTATAACTTCGTATGCCTCGAAGAGCACTTTGGCAAATGTTTATAATCTGAACAGAGTTAAACGTAATACGCGGAGTACAAAAAAATCACTACAATATTTTAAACCACGAACATGAATGGCTTGCGTTTCTACACTGAAAAACAAACTTGAATGATAGTAGATTTTCTTATCATCGATACAAGGTCTAATGGTGTAAACGCCAACAAACATTCATTTAGATTAAGATAATTTAGATTAACATTGACACCTTTCACCTTTAAAACGATCCCAGATGTCCTTGCTTTCGCCCAAATGGCTTCCGACTTCCTTCGTGTTCTACACGGTTCGACAATTAAAGTTGGCTCGATTGTTGTATTGTTGGCACAATCAGCTGTTCTTACTTTATGTTCGATTGCAAGTAACATTCAAAACTCATTATGGCACTTTTGATCTTCCGGGTCCTTTGATATCAAGGTGGCTGTGGGTTTGGAAAAAGTTGTTAAGTACTTTGAAACCTTGGGTAAGGTTGGGTTTACTTGTAAGTTAGGGGCAGGTTTTTTTATAAATCCCTGAACCAATTATACTTCAATTAATTATACTACAACCATACAAAGGTCACAAACAAAATAATTTTTTTCTTAATCATGTTAAGTGTAAGAAAGTACTAACTTTGTCAGAACAAATATACAGTAGGTCTAATTGGGTTTCATTTTATTTTGTTTATTAATTTCAATGTTCACCTTAAAAGAAAAAGCTACACACTGGTCCTAAAGTTTGAAAAATCAGTTTTTTTATTCAAAAACGAAATTTAGGTAATACAACGTCTACAACTTTAGTTTAAAATAACAACAGTATGTAAACTTCCAGTGGATATAAACGAATTGTATTATAATGTGTTTATACTATTATTACTATCTCTTTGGCCCGCTTTTCTCTCGGGTATACTTTTGTAGATTGAAAACTCATTAAATTTGAAATATAATTTAGCTGTAAAAGTTGTGATTAATCATCGGAGAATGGGTATAAGTTAACTGCCAATTAAATACTTTATATAGTTTACTTGTCCTAGCACTCTGAAATACCAACAAAACCATTGCGGAGTTATATTGCAGGGGAATGGGCGCACAATTTATTTTTTCTCATCCAATTGTTAACATATGATAACGCACTGGGTTTGCTATAGTACGACGTTTTTTGATCTAGTAGCACAGACTAAGAATCCTACTGAAATGGAATTTCGTGAATTGAATTTATTCTGAAAATTTTTGTCTAATTTTAATGGCTTATTACGAAAAATACATAAAAATTACAAGAAATTATCTACGTACATTTTCTTAGGTACCTACTTGAAATGACTAATTATTTGATTTATTCATTGAAAAAATTATCAAAATATTTAAATTATTGTCAAAGTAGGACAAAATAAAGATATAATTTAGCTTCAACGTAATAGAACTATGTAATTGCCGAAAGTAGTGTTTTCAAAGAAGGCCTGAGCCTTTTCCCATATGAGGAGGCATCGAAACGCCACCAAAAAGGTGAAGGCACTTTGTCCATCAAGTAAAAATCCATAAAATACATATTTTAAAAAGAAAGAAAAAAGAATTACACATTTTAAAAACAAAAATAAGCTATAGTGTCAAATAGAAGTAATAAAAGCCTTAGTAACCAAGCACACAACAAATACATGTTTGTCATCTATTGTATTGTTGTGAGTGATTACATTAACAGTTATAATTTCTTCAGCAAGACGAACTTTTACAATATTTATTATTTATCATGCATGTCAAGATTTTGTTGTTGGAATATTAATGCTACAATGTAACTGGGTTTATCCTGTTTTGCAGCATTGTAATAAAACAAATAATAAAAACTTTAAGAAGATAATGGTCTTACAAAACAGCTTAACCAAGAATATTTTTTAATTATTGATAAAAAATAAACAAAAACAATCATTTTGAGACAGATGTTTTAAATAAAAGAGATTGTAAGAGATGGTATATGATAAACAAATAATGGTAAAAATTGAATGTCCATGAATAGCATTGGAACTTTAAGGGCTTGTAGAACGCCTCCTTTTGATAAAAAACATCATGAAAACTTTTTAACTTGCCTATTTTTGACCTGAATAATGTGTGTACCACAGAGAAGAAATATAAATGAAGTACTGTAATATAAAATGATAATATATATGAAGTAATATCAAATATTTATATAACTTCTCTGTGAGTATACCAAATTTCAGCCTTCAAGCTAGTCTGGAAGTTGGAGGATTAGTTATGAGTCAGTGAGTGCTTTCACTTTTATATGTTTAGACGAAGTTGACGAAGGAGACACTTTTAGAAACAAAGAGGGTCACTTCCATTAACAACTATTTTGTGTCGGTACATTTTAATCGAAGTTTACTGAGTTATGTAAAACATCTAGAACAGAACAGAGAACTGTACATGACGCTAATTTATGGTAGTTTAAAAATTATACTACCTCGTACAATTTTCTATTGATTTAAAACGCATTATTTGTGGAATAAAACGCAAAATTTGTAAAACATTTGCAATATCAGAGGGCTCGCTATTGGACGCTAGTCTCTAGCCCGGGATCGCTTTTCACATTACTTCAGGATAGACCTAGGGGTTGCGGCATTATCACTTCGATGAAATCCATTGATTTGGCGGGCTTGAACCCGAGACCTTAGGGACCGAAGTCTCGCGCTCTACCACTAGACCAGCTCGAATAATGCTGTTGTAAATTATTATTTGGATTTACTCTACATTTTAGTGATAAATACAGGGCTTGAGAAAATCTATTTTTTTTTTTTAGAAAACCTGAAAATGTTAGTGAAACCTAATAAGTTTAATGTTATTCTTGGTTTGTTGGCTACTCATCACTAAAATAAATTAATCACAATTTACTAAAATATGTGGAGGTATATTTCGAGTTTTCCGTCAAAACCCATCTTCAGCCTCTGGTAGCAACATATCAAGTAAATAAACTAGGATTTATGATGTTTGTTTATAAATTAACATATGTTTGAACTATTTTAAAATCTAGTGAGTAGGGAAACAAATTTTTATATGTATATGTTATGTAGATGTCACAGTTAATTTATTATTGTTTTTCCAATTTTGTTCTCAACCTCTTCTCGAATCAAAGGTGTATATGTATATGTATAAACATATACATATAACAAGAAATTTTTCCTACTAACTTAATTTTAAAATAATTCAAACATATGTTAATTTATAAATAAACATTATAAATCATAGTTTGTTTATTTACTTGATTACTAGAGGCTGAAGATGGGTTTTGATGAAAACTCGAAATATACCTTCACATTTTTTAGTAAATTGTGATTTAGTGATGAGTAGCCAACAAACCAAGAATAACATTGATCATTCCATCACGAAAAAACATACCGGAATGAACTAATAAGTTTAGTTAGCATCAACATTTCTACTGCCTTTTACAATATTCGAACCCATCCCTCCATAACCGAGCATATTCACATTTAAACCTATTCAATGGCGGAAATCAACACTTGTTATTCAATGTGACTTATCAATAGTGGGATACGCGGCGATTTCCTCAGCACCTGAAATCCCTCTGTTATCTCTTATCAGGTCGCGGTGGTGGTGGGGGGCTCAGCCCCGGTGGCTCAGCAACCTCTACCTCGCCGTAGCAATTGGCAGTTACTGTCCGGTCGTAGTGTGGAGTGGTCTACCAAGGAGTCGCTGATATCCAGGTAACATAGTGTTCTATCTTTTACGAGTAACTTAGTTAAAGGTTATTGTAGTTGAGTTGAATTATAAGTTTTGTTGGTTTAAAATACTTAATTAGTTTTAACTTCTTAATTTTTTTATTAATTGTGGTATATATATATTATAAAATTGAAAATTAGGTTGTTCGATAGGTTAGTTGTACAGTAAAAATAAATACTGTGTATACTTACACTAATTATATATTTTTTTGTTTTAGCTAACATTAGTGAATATTAAATCCCTGCTTTTTTCCGATGACAATACATGACAATAACAATATAGGTTTATTTTAAATTATTGTAGTAAATAAAGTACAACTGAGCACCCTAAATACTATATATATATATATATATATATTTATTTTTTATAATATAGTATTCAGGGTGCTCAGTTGTACTTTATTTGCTACAATAATTTAATATATCAGCAGCCCTATTGCGTGAACTCCTAAATTAAAACATAGGTTTATTTATATCTTAGTTGTATTTATTTTTAATTAAAATAATTTTGATTATTCTGTTTTAAAATTGTATTGTTATACATAATAAAAATTTACGATAGGATTGTATTACACATTACACCTTTGTTGTACGGTAAATGTAATTGTACATGCACAATACCAATTTTAGAAGCATTCACTTACAACACATTTAAACAAGTGTTAATAATGACTGTAATTATAATTTATAATTTTATCAATAGGGCTTCACTGATCTCACCTAGAACAATCAATCGATTACGGAGATTGAAAAGTTTGTTATTCGACTCTTTCATATGTAATTATAACCAACAAAATATAATACTTACAAACGTAGCTTTAAAAATGTTTTTAAATGCAACAAAATTTTCAAGTTTAGCAGTTAAAGGAGTAACTTTGAAGGAAGTATTCCCGATACATTGACACACACGTTTTATTATTGTGTGTGTCAAATCAAAACTAACTTTCAATTAACTCGATTACACGCAATTAATATCAGAACTCCAAGATTACGCGACCTCACTGTAAATTGTTTGTGTTATAATTAACAACACGACTCAACCTTGGCCATAATAAAGGATTGTTCCTGAAACCTGAAAATTAGGTAAAGAGGAATATTCCAAAACAGTTTAAAATGTGAGTAATGAAACAGTATTAAACAAAGTAAAACCAATAATCGTCGATAAAAAACACCAGAGAAAAAACACTAGAGTAGATTGTTATAGATTGTAGGAAAAAGTATACGTTTTACATTAAGAAACATTAAGAAAACAAAATAAACTGTCAACTCAGTTTATTTACCATTATTTTTGTATGTGTGAAATGAAAAAAAAAAAAAAATGTTACGCATTGATCAGATACATGGTGGTGTTTATTTAAATAGAACATTATTTTTCATAATAAGACATAATATTAAACAATTATTTTGTGTTTAAAAATATAATACATTTTCATTGATATTATTTTATACTGACATGTCGATTCGTGAACAAAGTATTTTTGGACAACCGTATAAATATATGCAAAGGGACCCCTGCATAATTCTTTTGTTTACTAAAGAAAAAATTGCAAATATTTGTCATAATCATTGTCATTTTAAAATGTGTTCCAAGATGGCGGTTGAAAAAAAATACAAAGACAACGTCGGTTAGACAAAATTGGCCACTCATTTCCAGAACCCAGCATTAATGATTAGGCTTTACGTAAATGATTCCAGATAAGAAATTAGCTGAGGTTAGTGCGAACATCCTGTAATTTATAACACTCATCCTAACCTTAAATTACCCATCCTGGAGTGAATCATTGCAATGGTAAATCCACTCATCTGTTTTTTAATGAAAAAGTCGGGCTAGTGAATTGACCACAAATTGGCCCGGTATGTATATAGTGTCCTCCGATTTTAAACATTTTCGTTATTTTATTTTGGTTCCACAACTGCATGGAAATTATCAAATAAATGTAAACAGTACGCAAAATAGATCATTGCCGCTAAAGAGTGGGAATGGATAATTCCAGCTCTCTAATCAGCTGATTTCACTGCATTTCTACACCAACCTCAGCTGCGGATCCGGTACGCAAATAACATAGCCCTAAAAAGCAAACATAACCTAATTGACATCTATATATATAAAAGACAAAGCCCTCACTGACTTACTCACTCACTCATCACTGATTCTCCCACTTCCCATTTACCTAGGAGGCTGAAATTTGGAAAACTGATTCTTTAGGCATTAAATAGGAAAACTAAGTAGTTTTTTTTCTGATCGGACTCTCGGGCTCCGCCCCAGTGGCTCTGGAGTTTCCCATGTTAACCTTCTGATTTTTCATATATTATTTTTTAAATTTATGACAACAGCTTATTTGCAACCAAAAGGTGAGTGAGCGTAGCGAACGAACTTCAACCTGGAGGCGAGTTAGCGTAGCGAACAAGCTAACCTGAAGGCAATTGAGCGCAGCGAACGAGCTCCAACCCAAAGGTGAGTGAGCGTAGCGAACGAACTTCAACCAGGACGTGATTTGAGCCATGCGAATACTTATGTAGTTAAACGGGGCAAAGCCCGCGGGTACAGCTAGTTTTATATAAATCTAAAGTTAATTTGTGTGTTGTTAAGTTATGTTGGTAGGACAAATCTTGTGTTTATTACGAGCTCAAACAGTCATTGCCGCTCTCGAATGTGGTAAAGCTCGGGTCTTCGTGCGGCCATCTACAGTTCTCGAACGCAATTATATTGTACTTTACGCTCTTTTGCACAAATAGCTATTTTGACTATGAGCCCATGTAAATGTTTTAAGCTGGAATAAAGAGTAATCGATAAGAACAATTCAGTGATGCACTTGAACATGGAAGAGACAGCCAATCTTGAAAAAATATTTAATTGGCGTTTTGGTTTATATCAAGAAGCGCGTCAAAGAGGAGAGGCGTTTTGGTGTGAATAAGAAGGATAGGCTAACACTTTCAATAACAAAAATAAACTCATCTCCGTGTAGTCAAATTAAACAATAAACACTTAAAACGAAGAGGGATTGTAAGAGTTATCCAACTATTCTGGTACATATTAGCCGTGCAAGCTGTGAATAGACAATATGCATAGTACCCAAATAATTTAGAACCGGGTAGGTCACCAAGTGAACGATTTTTACAGTTTTTAGTAAGCCTGACAAATGATTTATTTGTTCATTGATATTTTGTAACCTAAGTTCAATGCGTGGACAATGATTCAACATAAGTTGTGTTTGTGTGGGAGGAAAATGCTATACTATCGATCCTTCAATTTAGACACCAGTCATAGTAAAAAATAACTAACCGCATCGTAGCAATTGATTTGGTAAATAACCGTTAGCATTGTTTATTTTAAACTTGTCAAAATCATATTGTTGCACCGGAGTCGTACAAGCGTAGTACACAACCATCGGCACATTATTGAATGACCTCTCATTCTGTTGCATGTGTTATTTACATTTACCCCAATAAGAATAGTAAGAAGTGACTTTTCAATCCACCGAATTTGTTTTGGCAATAGTTTACACCTATCAGAGCTCTGTGTAAAGAGACATCTCATTTATCACACATCAATAGCTCAAAGTTTAGAGTGATCTTAAATCTAGTGTAATCATTTGGTTATTAGTGAACACCAATTAGACACCTCTTACGATATCCCGGAAAACACGACCCTTTTGATCACTTAAACATTTTAATGTAAGGGTAGGTTGTTTGCGTCTCGAACTTTGATAGAAGAGTGTCGGGTATCAACGATGCATCCACCTTTCATTCTATTCCTTCATGCAAAATTCAACTGGCGTAGATAAGAAACAAAACAATGGCATTGTAGAAGCGACCTCTTCTTCTTTTATCATCTCTCCGGATATGTAGACACCCACTAACTTCTTAAGTGACCTCTCTACCGAGTTTACAAATCGGTTTGCGCAGGCGTCACGGAAGGTATTCACGGATCAAGCAAAGTTCAAGTATAATCGTCTCCAGTAGGTGATACTGAGTCATGGGTGGTGGCCTTGAAGCTGTGTTTTCTTCCGACGATTACCTTAACGCAATGCAACTTCTGTTGATACAACGGCATCAGCTGGTTTAGCTGTGATTATATGACATTGTTGAGCTGTCGTTCACATTGTTGCTATGTTGATACGAGAGTTTCGACACCGTGGAAAATCCTGTTTTTGAGACAATTGTTACGACGAGATCTGTTTCTGAGGGTTTTTGCATAGATGGAGGATATTCTCACGAATGTTATGGGTGATATTTGTCAATATGAATCTTAAAAGTTTTTACTTGCATATTGGGTTAAATGCGTGAGGGACAAGAAAGAAAAGGAAGGTATGGGTCGTTTATCAGATTAGTGTCTTACCATGAATTGCAGCATATTCTTAAATTTAAAAGAATGTATGGTGTCTCGTTTACATATTTTCTCCCAAAGAGAAAACATTTATTATTTAAAATGGGAATGGTATACCTAATATGTTTCCTTGAACAGAAGCACCAGCTTAAGCAAATTCTCATCACAAACAACCACTTAAAATTAGGAAGAGCCACAATATTTTCGATAACGAATTCATTCAAATGGTTAAGTTATTTAAGAGTAATTTTCCGCCGGATTTAAACTATATTGTACAGAATGGTAGACCATTAATATTCTATTTTAACCGTGACAAAATGGACCAGCAATGGCTTTTAACCTCATTAAAGACGAAAATAAACATCATCGTTGGATCATCTCCCGACGATATGTGATTTCCTGTATCCAGATTTATAGAATGAGATGCGGGTTTGTTAGAGAAGGCAATCAAGTGGTAGTTGGTAGTTATTCGGTAATGGCTCATTACAAATGTTTGACTCCAACATAACTCATGTAAAAGGTAAATAATATGACTTAACAATATTTGGGAGCTCAGCTGAATAATTTACTGTGAACCTCATGATAACTCTATAGCTGACAAATCATGCCAGTGTATAGTTAGAGTTACTTCAGGTTTTTAGCTACTTTTTTGTATAAA